TTTTACTATTACAGATCTGAAAAAGCTCATTAATTTACAACTATACTCAAAAATTGAGATCATAAATCACGCAAGAAAATAGAGCAATGCAAAATAAAAATAAAAAAATTGTATTGACTACAATAATATCAATAATTATAACAATAATACTAATAGTACATAATTAACAGTTCAAATAATAATGAAAATAATATTTATGAAAAAATATTTACTCGTATGAATGGGGTGTGCCTACTACCTATAGAGCCACCAGCAATTATTTTTTCGGGTTAAGTGCAAAACGACAAAGACCATTTACGTCTTCTTTCAAGTCTGGTCTTAACAAAAAAAATACTCAAAAGTACTCCGTTTTGATCTATAAATAAAAAAATACTTATTATTTAGCAACTGAATAACGTGTGACATCCCATGTCATATACTAGATATTTATTTCTTTGAAACACAAAGTTTCGTTTTTAAATTATAAAAAGCAAAAGCTCAGCGATCTCGAACCATTGAGCGGTATACCTGATTCTGCAATTGCGTGACATATAACTTACTTCTTTTGAAACAAGCTACCGTCGCAAAACTCGAACTACGCGTGCAGCCTAAAACAATCTTATAAAACGCTTATCTTACAAAATCAGTTCGCATCAGTACACCAAATAATGTGATTAATCAACAATTTCAACATTCTTTACTGCGGATGTACACAAGAAATATCATACAAAATTTCGACAGCAATTCGTACTTGATGTAAAATCTGAAAGATCAGCAGTTTTAACAATCAATTACTCTGAAATTATTGTATCACGACTGTGATCGTGTCAGTCGAGGGTAATTAGGTTAAGCCTTGATTGGTCGTTCAAATTCCCATCTTGACGCGTCCTCCGTAAACGCAAATGTATAAAAACTCCTCGCACATAAAAATATTCGCCTTTTCTCTTTCATCAAGTGCTCCAAACTAACTCTAAAGGTTGGAGAGTGAGTTCTGTTGCGTCTTTTAAGCGGATGTAAGACTTAGTTTGGTGATTAAGCTACGTGTTAGAAGCGTGCATTTCAAGCAAATGTAATACTTAGTTCGGTGACTAAGCTGTATGAGAAAAGTTCGAGCAAACCAGGCCACTGTGAACCCGCCGAAAAAGTGAATCAAGGAGGAACCAAAAAGACAGGACCGTTGACTTGGGTTCTGACGTTGAAAGCAGAAACCTAATTATTCTCATCGCCACGAGTGTTATCGTGTAGGATTAGGAACATCGTTGTGGTCAACCTTGTGAGATCTTGCAACTGCGTGCACGCAATCAGTGGCTAATCCACGATGATAGAAGTAAGTTAAGTTAAGGAATCTCTAAATTGTATAACATTTTAAATGCGAATCTGAAACTTTATTATTTATACTATTGCAGGGACTAGACGCGTTGGGCCACTACCTGGAGCGAGGAAACGTAAGAATGCCCGAAAACAAGCAGCGGTCTGCGCGGCTTTTCACGGGGAAGAAGAAGACCGAAGAGAGGCTAGAGAGCGGAGACGGGAGAGGTATTCGAGGGAAAAGTTCCTCACGAACTGGACCCGATAATTTTGGATGAGGGTTGCCCACCAACTGCTGGCTCTCTATTGAGACTTCCTCTGTCGGCACGGTCCTCTTAATTCCAAGTCTCTCGCTTCTGTTTGGTCTTCTTTTTCGGTTGTGCGTAAGTAGAAGGGGCCATCTAATAGGCACGTAAAGCGAGTTCGTGGGTTATCATCGCGATAACTCCTTGTCGCTGAAGCGACAAATCTTTTGTGGTTGTTTCCTATGCGTACTCCTCTTTATTTGCTCAAGCTGATGGGGTATAGGTATGGAGAAAAGATAAAGGAAAAGAAAAACAGCTGTACCTACCTATACTAGAGGCTAAGTTTACGTATGTATATTGCATACATACATACGTGTTACGTGTCCTGGTCATTATATACATGTTCATATGTATGCATGTATGTAAAAAAATGTGCATAAAGTATTAAATATGTATAATACGACAGCCTAACCTTTGAATACAAGAAAAAACTCTGTACCTCGAAAGGAAAGCAAAATTAGTTAAAAATAATAATTTTTACGGATTTTCTGAAGGGGAACTATATAATCGTAGTGCACAAATATAGAGGGGTTGAACTATGCACAAACACAACCTTAATTATTCTCTGTTTTGACTGTATCTTTAAAAGAACGAGTAACAAAATTTTTTTTATTTAGTATGGCATGTTCGGAACACTAATACGGATGTTGACAAAAATTTTGAATAATTTTTCTCACAACATAACCTCTCAAAATTAGAAAAACAGTCGTATCTCTAAAGGGAAGACAGATAGGCCAAAAATAATTCCACTTACAGAAAATATTTATTAAGGTGCAAAATTGTGTGTCACTCGGATTTCTACAAACAATCATGATACTTTTAAAACTAATAAGTCATGTCTTAAAGGGAAAGCTACCTCCTATATATTCTAGCTATAAATTAATTTATTTTCTATTCTCTCTCATGTATTATAAAAATAATCACTTGACTAAAACCTATATTTTTATTATTAATTTTGAGATTAGTAGAAATCAGTTATAAGCACAGGTAAATTTTAATATTAATTTATAAATAATCATAGATAAAAAATTAAATATCAAATTACAACTTTACGATGGAAAATAGTTATTAGTGTATTGTTTTCTTTAATCGTAATCAGATAGAGTGGGTTATTTTACTTTTATGGTAGACAAAATTTTATTTATCGGATACAATGATTTCAACAAGAATTGGTTGTACATATATGATGTCAAATCAAATGCACGAATAGTAATTTTAAATAAAAGGAATTTTTGTCCCGCCTCCCACTGGACGAAAGTATCTTTTTTTGGGTCAGTATGAAAAAAATTGTTGTTTCGTTCTGCATTACATGACCAACTATTCGTACCTGCATTAATACATGTATATCATAGCAAACATGGAAGTACTTAAAATGCGCGAATCACGTGTAACATAAGTAGTATAGATATGTATTTTGTGCACACGTGTGATGAAATACGTAATAATAATAAAATTTTTAGAATTTAAATACCGGATTCTTAAAGACCTACTGAAATTAAGTGTAATCTAATTTTTTTAGTTTCTGTTATACTAAGTGTAATAGCATTTGAGTTGGAAGTTTACCTTCTGCCAGAGGTCCCAAGGTCTACACCTGGTTTTTTATTTACTTTTTCTCTATGTATTTGTATTTCTTAGAGTTATTAAATTATATAAATTAAATGTAGATATTTAAAATCAATACCTCTGAATAAGTAAAGACACAGACAAGCACTTTTTTTACAAAAGTTAGAAATTACGGATTATAAAAAAAAAATTTTTTCATTTGTTCTAAGTTTATTAGTATGAAGTCAATCTATTTGCCTATAGGGCTGTGTATAGAATTTATTTTGTTATTAAACTAAAGAGAATTATTTTATAATTAAAATTTAACAAAGAATACATTTAAGTTGTGTAAATAAAAAATTTCAAAATACTAGCTACAACGAGGGAGAAGTACAGGGTAAAAACAATTTTCTAACTGTTATTATATGATGAATATTCTACTGTATCGATTGTACATCATAATAATCATTTTGACTCAACATATGTTAAAAGAAATGAAAAAAAGCCAATCTTTTTTCCTACTTTGTGTAGGGAAAAAATTAATAATTATACTTTTATAATAATGATAATCTTATTCTGACTTGTAGAATCATATATGTCCCCTTATTGAAATACAATAGAGAGGAACAAGAAACGCAAGAAAAATGTTCATAGTTAAGTTAAAATAAGGAAAGTTCTTAAGTAGAATGGCAAATAGTAACTGGTGGGGATGGAGGTGTAAATGGGGTGAGGAGGGATGAGGGGGAGTTTTGTGGGCCTCAAAAACAAATGAAGTCTGTATTTATAAGGGAGAAAACAATATAGTTGTATTTCTTATTTATGTGAATAATATAAACAGAAAGCGCTTCATGATTCATGGGGTACGATTTAATTTTTGGTGTTTTCAATAGTTATTTTTGCACTGAAAATGTCTACAATGATTCTGTCCTAAGTTGATGTTACTTAGCAAAGAATATGACAGTCGATTCTGTTTGAGTTACTCTAGGTAATATGACGTAATTAATATTTTCTTACGCCACCATCAGGACCGAATTGATAATGGTTCAATAAATTTATGAGGTAAGCTCTGCAGCAACCGTAATTAGAAGGCTGGGAACAAGCAAGCTTTCGTATTAGATTTTCCACCAATGAGTGAAGAGAGAGCGTTATTCAATCCCTAATACATCAAATAACCACGAATGTAGGGAAAAAATTGTTTTAAATAGTATTAAATATGATGATTGACACTAATAAGGCGTACTGTTTTATAATTAAATGTAATTCAATAAATTCATTACATTGCTTGTAAAATACGCACTGAACACATTTTAGCAAATAAATAAATTTTTTGAGATTACAGACATTATTAGTACCTATTGATTCCAAAAAAGTAGATCTTGAATCAACCCAGTCCTTCACTCGTAATAAGAATTAAAACTTCAAATCGACGATTGTGCTGTAAGTCACCATATAAGAATTTCACTATCGAGCTTAGCGTTCGATATTAACCACGCTTATGTTCGTAACATTTTAAATGTTCAGCGAATTTTAACTAATGTTACATGTGTTTTGATGAATAAATCCCTACAAAAAATCATCTCCCGAACTTCCTTGTTTTCAACATTTTTCTCTTTAACGGATAGTCTTATGATACTAAAGGAAAAATCACAAGGCAACGAAAAATCATTTATTTATCATTAAAATATTCATGACGCAAATTTAATTTTATGTATAAACTGTCCAGTACTTTTTTTCATTTTTTTTCTTTATTTTAAACCCGAATACGCTTTCTTGGAAGCAACCACCACGCTCAAAAGCTCTGGTGGCCTAAATATTTTGATTTACTCCATACATGGCTGAATTTCTATAGCAACATGCATGTTTCAGCTTATTAGTCAATTGGCTCTTGGAGGTCGCATGATTATACCAATTGGAAGTAGTGGTGACCAGATGCTGTATCAAATAGATAAAACAATTGATGGAACAATTCACAAACAGTCGTTGATGGGAGTTATATATGTTCCCCTAACTGACAAAGAGTATCAAATAAGCAAATCATAAATGTGCGCAAAATGTAATTTGTATAATAAATTAACTGGTGGTTTCAATGATACAATAATATTTAAAAAATTGATTTTTAATATGTTACATAAAAACATTTAAAAGTATTAATTGTAAGAGATTGTAAAAGTAGTTGTCATCGCTTAAAATGAGGTAAAGGATGGGTGTTTGGTAGTATAAAATACGTATAAAATTAATAAAAGGAGTTTTCTCCTCGATGAGAACCTTAAAAATTCAATGACAGGTTTAAAATCTTCAATGTGTATTACTACTTGTTTCATTTTATTATCGATCAACTTACTGGATATCTTTAAAATTTTATTTTGTCACGACTTTTGGCCATCTTGATTCGTTTTATAATAAAAATTTTGGTCTGGAAAACCAGCGACTACCTTCTCCAAAAGAGTTTAAATTTTCTCTTGTAGCGTTAATAAATTTTAATAAACTTGTTAGTGGCCTTTTAGGTAGTAGAAGGCCACGTACATATAGGCTAAAAAGTAAATTATTACCACCTATGTGTCAAATTGCTGGCTAATAACTTATTTGAGTTTTTAAACTAGGTACGTAATATACAATTCTAACTTGAGAATCTATTTGAGTAAACAGTAAAATACTTGTCTGTTTCTTTTGCTTCCTATGAGAATAATGAATGTGCAAGCTCAACCGTTGTAAAGAACACGAAAAACAAAAGTTGCAATGCGAAGTGCTCTCTAATGACTTTGTAATGCCTAGAGTTTTCAAAAGTAGCTTCAGATCTCTAGGAAATTCAAGAATCTTTCTAAAGCTATTTACTACATAACCTACTAAATCCCGAAGCATTTAACCCTACGATCTAGTGACCACGGAGTGTATCATGCCATGGACAGAATCATAGTCAGTCATAAATGTATTTTCCCTGTATTATTAACTATACATTATTATTCCTGTATGTGATTAAAAATTCTAGTCACTTGCATTGTGTCGGTAAAGGCTTTAAAATTATCATATTATGGGATTAAAGGCTACGGTGTTTCCGAGTTATTGAATTTAAGTTAAGTTTTGAACTTTCTGAGGGTCTGAACTATCTGGAGCCACTTTTGAGAGCTCTGGTACTGCGGCTTAACGGTTGAGCTTGCATATTAATTATTCTTATGAGAAGCTTTGTAATAGAAGGAGAACATTACTTCTAAACAACATGTTATAAAAATGTTTGCTGAACTGGAAATCAAAATACACTAATCTTGCACCAACACCTATCTGTGGATTTGTATGATCAGTTATATGTAAAAATTCCAACGACCGACTTTGATTCAACATGTTTCATTACTTTTTGTTACATAATTTTCACCAACGTTGAAAAATTTTTGCGGATGTAAGGTTTAATCCATCTTTTAAGAGGTTGGCAATGCTCGTACCTACAATGCTACCAACTTTTATTACGAGTATTCCTGAATATAATATAAATATACAATTAACAGACGAAATGTTTACTGGGAATAGAAGGATAAATAAATTATTATTCATCATTATATTTGCTGCTTACATTCAATACCAAAAAATGTGCACAACTATGAAACCACATCTCATGAAAAATTTGTGATTTTTAATTAATCTTGCTCGATACGCACAATCCACTATTGGCTAAGAGCTGAGCTTTAGGGTTGTAAAAAAATAACTGGTGCAAACCTCACACAAGTTAAAAAATGTCAAAATTCGTGGAGATCTGAAGTATTTTGGTGTTCTATTCTCTTAATTGTCAGTTCTATTGTCACATAAGAAACGCCACGAAAATAATAAGTTGTGGATGGAGAATAAAAAAGTGGTCAAAAAGAAGTGCATGCCATTTTTCTGACTCGTGGCAAGACTGGAACTCTTCTACTACCCGTAAATAAACTGCCATGTAAGTGTACCCCCTACAAAAAAAATAGGCCGCAAGTTTGCCAATGGGATTTTTACAGTAATTTATACTTAAAACCAAAGTTGCAACATAAACATTTATTACTTAAAGCACTGTAATATGATGTTGAAGGTAAGATCAGTGATCTATTACGGTTGAGGCAAAAAATGACGTACAAAAGTATTTAACATTTCCCACAATAAAGCTCTTTATGCAGAGCTCTTTAATGCATACGTCTAACATTTGAATTGGCCCAGTATACACAGTAATGTTGGGTAAAAGAAAAAAAAAAAAAGGGATTTGAACACGCTTTGTCCTAGATCGTTAGCGGGACCCATCAGTGTGGCTGTGCCGACCTTTGCCACAGACGCTGGTATCGCAGGATGAGATTTTTGCGTATAATATGCATTCACGTACGATGGGCGTATGTATGGTGAAGCAGAAGGGCTGGACGAACAGTCGGGGATGTTGTGTAACATTTTATTTATAGCTAGTCTCTCTCTCATCCAAGACTCAAAGTATGAACATTTTTTAGTTAAAGCACCCTCCACTATTGCACGGTGTAGAAGTTAAGATGAGTGATCCGTTAGGGGTGAGGCAGGAAAATGACGTACGAAAGTTTGTAACATTTTCCATGTTGCAGTAATTTTTAGATTCAATAATGTGGGGAAGTTACTTTTTTTCGTCAGAAATTGGAAACTGCAATGATTATATTATCTATTAATACTTATCTAAGAGTATAGGTCATAGTGATCGACCGGAAAAAATTATTTGCACTCACATTTTTTGTGCTTTCTTGTTTTAAAATATAGTACTGTACCTAAAGATTCATCTTACCACCCAAAAATGTGGTTAGGTATTGTTTCAAAAAAATTCATTTTACAAACAATTTGTTAAACTTATTTTGATATTCTGAAAAAAATATTTTCGAGTTCCTTGGCACATTTAGAACAAAAAACTTAGTGATTGTAGAGGAAAGTTAATAGCAAATATTTGTGTACTGTAACATATGAAAAGGTGCTTATTAAGTACTCTCGTGGAGCTCCTAATATCGACAAAATCGCATTTTTCAAAACTTTAATTTAACACCACCGTTTACCCGTACTAGGTAGCAGTCGACTGTAGCTGCTTCAGCCAAGCACCTGCTTGAGTAGGGCCTGTTAGCCCATCGAATTTCGCAATGTTATGCGATAAGTCTGGAAAAACATTAATGCACTGGTTTGTATTTCATTGGCTCTGGTTCAAAACTTGTGTTCAAACGTATCACCTCAGTTATGGCCCGAATCAACTTTGTCATATCATTAAGAGGTAGGCCAGTGCCATCTGGTACACCAAATATGCCTGGTCGATTAGGCCGTAACTGTTCTTTTAGCAACAGCAATGCTTTTACCGCATCATGACAGTTAAGCGTCATGTCTTTGTTTAAATCGTAATTACGTTTGTTACTGACGCGCACGGGCTTCTCGGCTTCTGGGAAATCCACCAAAAAGTTGAAGATCGATTATTTTTCCTTCCAGCGGCTTTCATCAGGTTATTGACCCCTTGCGCTTTGACACCACTGCCCGCAGTATCCTAACCAACTTCCACGCACTACAACTGCTACTGAAACCTTGTCATAAACGTTGTTCTCTTGAACACCTGAAGCTCACTTGCCAACGTCTGTCGAATATCCCACTTCGGACTTGTTAGCAAGGATGGTATCAGTCAGATTTAAACACTCACGCCAGGCTCTTGTATTATGATTTCATTAATTCTTATCAAAAATCAGTTTCTTACAAAAACGGTTTAAATGGTAACGCTTGCGTGTCTCGACTAATTCTGCCCACGCAGGGGTGGACTAGCCTGAAGGGAGTTTGGAAAAGTTCCTCTTGGTTTCTTCTCTACCTTACAGAATCTGCATGCCTAAACGTAGTTTTTTGAACCCAATAATCCCGAGAATGATAATCTAGAACACATAAAAAAAAAAAAGGTGAGTCTATAACGCCAATTAATATGTTTAGACGTTTTGATTTTTTTTTTCACTGTTATAATTTATGTAAAAGTAAATTTATAAAAACCTTACTTTTTTGAAATGAACTTTTATTTATATTATCAACTGTAATATTTTATCCAAGATATCTTTCTCTGATACCATTAGCATGAATGCTTCTTACTTTTCTTGATTCATAGAATTTCTTAAACGATTCTTTCAAAAGTTTGATAGACTAAAATACTGTTTGTAGGCTTTTGGCGTTATCAAGTCGCGTGGGAGCGCGACGAGCAAGTTGTTCAAGAAAGCAAACGAAGCCTCGGTGACCGCGCTACTATTTATTTAGATTTGCATACTTGAATTTTCAAAAATCGGAAACGAAGAATTTTTGCTGGTATGCTTTGGTTTAATTCATTCTCTTTAATACTACTCCACTGCTTTACCAAAAAATTTATGTTAAAAAGTCGTTGTAACAATAAAAACGAGGCATGTGTATCTCAAAATGCTCAAATTAAGATGACAATTTCTTCAGTTTCAGTTTCAGCCTGAAAATAATTGTACCATAAAGTCGACTACAAGCCCAACTTTTCAGTGTATAATTGAGATAGGCATGCTCTTAAAATCAAGCAAAGCCACCAACATAATGATATTCACTACAGGTATTTCCTACAATGTCACTATAGATAGCATGCAGTGTTGGGAGTTCTCGGTGGTTAAAAAGGTAGAGCGCTGGCTTTGCTCCTGGAGGGCTTAGATTCAAGACTTCGCTTCGTCATTTACTCCCAGGTAACTTTGTGGTGTTTTTTTAAATGACCGAATAACAAGGATATCCTACAATTAAGATACTCGTACTTAACATTGTACCGTAGCATGCAGATGTGTAGATAATAGTAGAGAACAACAATGCCTCAGAAGAGGGGGAAAGCAAATGTAAGTGGATGACTTTCTCATCGTAAAATCGTCCCATATAATCAATAATACAAATTTAAAAGATATATGTTGCGAATCAAAGTACACACGCCAACGCCGCACACGCCCCCCAATCGACGCCCACAACCACCACCTCAGAGGGCCACCCCAACTGCCCATCGTCACCTCATATCTTGAGAGGATGCCCCTATCCGCTACCCTGGAAAGCGCCTAGTATGAAGAAACTAGCTAAACCCCACCCGGGAGTAGTAGTAGTAGTTTTTTTTATGGAG